CTTATAATGCACGCACTGTCTGAAATACGGAAATTAATTGCTTAGAATATAAAGATCGGTATATAGATTTTAAAAAATTGCGTAGCTATATAACGACCCAATCTTCTTCCTTTTTGCATATGTATTTACTCTGTTCAAAGACAGAAAATATTTGATACAGTATGTGTATATACACACAGAACACCACGTTATAAGTCTATTCCTTATACAGATATTACTTATTAATGAGGTACGATTGTGAATCGTACACCCAATGAAATACAATTCTGTCGCTCACAAATGACCGTTGTGAACAAAACTCTGAAACAATTGCAGTTATGTAAGTCTTTCTATTGCGATATTGAGTGTACATACTTGGATATCAGTGTCTTCTTGAACGATTCCACGGAGCAGTTAGAAAAAACAAATGGGTTTCTGGAGTATGGTGTAGTCTTGTCGAAAATTGGAGTTTGAACAGACATAATAAATAAATCCTCAGCTTTACAGCTCTTGGCGCTATCTTCTCCATCATGATCTGCTCCAAGACTGGAAATAAACACATATTAAATGCATCGGTATTGACAAAATACATTCCAAATAAGACAAATCTTTAGATGGATGGATGGATGGATGGATGGATGGATGGATGGATGGATGGATGGATGGATGGATGGATGGATGGATGGATGGATGGATGGATGGATGGATGGATGGGATGGATGGATGGATGGATGGATGGATGGATGGATGGATGGATGGATGGATGGATGGATGGATGGATGGATAGACAGACAGACAGACAGATAGATATATAGATAGATGGATGGATGGATGGATGGATGGATGGATGGATGGATGGATGGATGGATGGATGGATGGATGGATGGATAGACAGACAGACAGACAGACAGATAGATAGATAGATAGATAGATAGATAGATAGATAGATAGATAGATAGATGGATGGATGGATGGATGGATGGATGGATGGATGGATGGATGGATGGATGGATGGATGGATGGATGGATGGATGGATGGATGGATAGACAGAAAGACAGACAGACAGACAGATAGATAGATAGATAGATAGATAGATAGATAGATAGATAGATAGATAGATAGATAGATAGATAGATGGATGGATGGATGGATGGATGGATGGATAGATAGATAGATAGATAGATAGATAGATAGATAGATAGATAGATGGATGGATAGATGGATAGATAGATGGATGGATGGATAGATGGATAGATGGATGGATGGATGGATAGACAGACAGACAGACAGATAGATAGATAGATAGATAGATAGATAGATAGATAGATAGATAGATAGATAGATAGATGGATGGATGGATGGATGGATGGATGGATGGATGGATGGATGGATGGATGGATGGACGGACGGACAGACAGACAGACAGACAGACAGACAGACAGATAGATAGATAGATAGATAGATAGATTGATAGATAGATAGATAGATAGATAGATAGATAGATAGATAGATAGATAGATAGATAGATAGACAGACAACCAGATGTATTTTAAAAAAATTGACAATAGCTACATAATCAAGAAGCTGAACAGTTTTCTTAAATTCCTGACGTTAATTGTATAGTTAACTGTTCGTTTCATAGATCTCTTAGTCTGTATTCACATCTGTCCATATGACACCATCGCCAGTACATGACAGAGGATCCCAACATCGGAAAAGTTATCGGCCTCCAAAACGGAGAAGCAGATGTACTACTAATCGAGTGAACGTAAATGAGGTAGAGAAATATGCCACAATACATTGACATACTTGTGGCCAAGTTCATGTGCTGCTGCATGCACCGTCCTTGCATAATGATTTGTTTCGATAAGCGAATATCTATAAGCCGGATCACATACACTCGCAGTAGGGCTTCTACCTGAAATGAAACAAAAATCAAGTGAAGATATGATAGTTTCATTTGCAAAGGATACCGTTGAAAAGAAACGAGTTTTCTGAGCAGAAATAGTGCAATATATTTATTGCATTAACACAGAAATCCAATAATAATTTATAATAACGTATTATATTCCTCTCGATGAAATGGATATCTACATAAATTTAACTACATATATTACACAATCAATGCGTGAAATGAAAAGGTGGTGTTTGAACGATTACTTCGACATAAATGCGTAATGAAAAAGATATATTAACTACAACGCTGACAATAGAGAAATCGTTTTGCTCGAGAGTACGTAAATGTGATCTTTAAATTTATTACGATACTCCTATAAACTTTTAAAATGTGTTTCTCACGTATGAAGTAAAGCGTCTATGAAAATGGAATCACCTTTAGTCTACATAGCCGAAAAAGACCGTGTTTACATTTCTCAGACTAAAAGCTTACATACAAGGATATATCAAATGCATTGCGGAAATGAAATTAGCAAATATTACACGCAGAAGTGTTAGAAAGCAAAACTAAGTATATGCCATTTTTTAATCACATGTTATATTTTGTTAAAATAAGTCAACCAATCAGCAGCCAGCAAGAAGCAACCGTCCAGCTTATTAAAACATTCCAAGCTAAGCTGTGTTCAGATTTGTTTATGGCATCTTGAACAACGTATACTACCTAACATAAATGCAAAAGATGGTGCGATACAAAACACAAAGCAGCCGCCTTACGCCGATCATTACAAAGACTCAAATCGGTATATGATAGAACATTTATTAACAAAATTAAGACTCCATGCTGTATGTGGGGCGATTCCATTACTTAGATTAAGCTATAAATAAAAGCCTTGTATATGAGACAGATATCACTGCACATAAACACTGAGCACCACAAACACGAACATTGTAAAATGCACCGAGGCATGTGAAATAGATAAGTGGATAAAATTATAAAAATGTAAAAGGCATCAATTAAGATGAAGACAAAGTGTCAGCAACTCTCATAAAAGTAGTACCACTGAAAAGTTAAATGAACCCAAATTTAAATCGCTGTGATCGATAGTAACAAGAGATCCGACTAATGTTGAAAATAGTAAATATGTACACGGCGTTTGACGGAATCTCTTATTTAAACATTCAAGCACTCTTATAAAAAAATTAAGACTATAGCTTTAGCAGGCGCCAAACATTCGTAGTGGTGAATATACGCATTCAGTGAAAATCAACTAAACCTGACACTCTACATCCACCAACAACTCGGCAGAATAACTAACTAATTCGATACCAGTATGTCTGGTCTAATGCTAACAAACGTTTGACATAAAGGACACCTCTGACAAACATCAGAAAAAATACTGTCCCAATCTGTCTTATATATATATATATATATATATATATATATATATATATATATATATATATATATATATATATATATATATATATATATATATATATATATATATATATATATATAATGTTGAAAACAATTACCATTACCAATATAACTCTTTTAAAACGTCTAGAGTGACCTGAATGTATCATTGCTATCAAATGCTCTTTTTCTTTAAATGAAAAATGTTCCTTTCATACACGAGACATAACAGAAATTTGTATGAAAAATTGATTGTTTTCAGGGAGTGTGTATTTGTGTGTGTGTGTGTGTGTGTGTGTGTGTGTGTGTGTGTGTGTGTGTACTCACCACCGATTTTGTTTCTTGTGATGTAACCATCATACAAGTCATACCTAAATAAAATAATAATCATTTTATGTAATCGAATAACTATAGACTTTGTTAGAGACAATACAAATGTATTCTTTATTTACAAACATAACCCTGGCATTAATAACAAGGTATAAAAAGCAAGCATTGTGCTTGACTTTACTCTCTTACTAGCCATAACAATATTTTTTCTTTCATCTCCGACTCTCGGTTTTCGTTTAGTTATACTATCAAAGGTCTACAGGTCTCGTCGCGTACCAAAGGAAAAATGTTTTTTGCTAATTTATCAGTGACTAGCTATAGACTTAAAAAATATTTTGGGAAATAACAATTTTAGGATTATATTTCCATATTTTTAAATACGAAATTATATGGACATATTATATAGTTAGTTTTTACCAAATTGTATATTGTCAATATATTTGAGACATTTTTTCTTCAGTCTATACCGAAAATGACATCGTTTATTTGGAAAACTATATAACCGAAAATCATATAATAATAATTGTATCTAACATTTATACATTCAATGTTTGAAGCTATATTTTTTGGAAAAATATGTATGTTATGAATTATCATAGTCAAATTTGTTTTTAGATTTGAAAAAAATACTTGCTCAATCTGAAGCAAACTGTGTATGTTGAAACGTTTCAAAAGCTCTGTCGCATATATATTTGATTCTATTCATTTTTAGAATGGGAATATAGCATTTATCCTCAATTTGCTTCTACCATAGTTTTGTTTCAGTACTTTATTGAATGCAAAATGGAAAATTTATAACGAAATATATATATATATATATATATATATATATATATATATATATATATATATATATATATATATATATATATAATAAATATACTCAAATTATGATTATAAGTATATAAAAAATGCTTAAATAATGAAAACATATTTTTGTATTGTCAATGCAGCATCAGTTACATTTAAATAGATTGATCTACAGTACTGGATTTATGCATAAGCTAAACAAGCTAAAGCTTAGGACCCCAAGGTCTGAGCTCAGTCTGAAGAGGCCACTCAAATTTATTTTATACCAAATATGGTCTCTATAGCTTCCCATAGCTTAGGGCCTCGCTTTGCCAAATCAAGCACTGTTGATGCATATCGTCAAAGGTGTAAAACAATCTTAAAATTAAAAGTTAAATAATCGATGCATATTACCAAATGTGGAAACTAAGATCAACTTTTCATGCCATTATCATTTTGTATATATTTCGTCTGGTAATATATTGATCCCCAAGACCAAAGAAAGGCACTAGCTAGTTTTATTATGTACAAGACCATAGAACAATTAACAGTTTCAATATTATATATTGCGTGTATTTTGTTCATAACCGCTCTGGTAGCCTAGTGGTTAGGGCGTCCGCATTGGATGTGGGAGGTCGTAAGTTCGAGACCCGGTCGAGTCATACCAAAAACTTACAAACATGGTACTAATAGCTGCCTCACTTGACGATCAGCATGAATAGGTTAGTGTTAGGACTGGTCGGCCTGGTGTCAGAATAATGTGACTGGATGGGACATCATACTACATGTCTGCAGCATGATGACCAAGTGCTAGACATCACTATAAACTATCACACTGCAGACATCGATATGAGAAAAAAATTGTTATAAAGCTACGTTACAAATCATAATCACATCACATATGTTGTTCATTCTTTTCAAATTCTTACATTTGTATAAAATTTCTTTCGTTCCCGTAATTTACGCTTCTTTCGAATTATTATTTTTTTGTCTCTCATCAAGCATATCATCATCCATTTTAAGTATTAAGCTGACATTTTTTCTTTATTCATCGTTAAATTTACCAACAATAATTTTGTTTGCTATGTCATACAGATGACTAGCGCTCACTAAACTGGTCTTTTTTATATCACCGTAAATCAAATGTTTTTTATTCATACTTTTTAAGTGTCATCGGGTAAAATTATATCTAGGTGCTCTAAATCCGCTTCCCAAATATGATCGTTTGGAGTTATCTGCACTTAATCTGGTATTATTTATGGCATAATTCATTTAAAGATAGCAACAGACAACCCCAGCTTACATTGGGTTCAATGTTTAAGAATGTTGTCCAAGCATGAAACTTTCTCAAATGCTCTAAAATCAGTCTTAAGGCAAGCTCACGCCATCCTACAACAAATAAAAGTCTTATTGAAGCTCTACTCACAGTCACATCGCTAAAGAAAAACGAGAACCTTAACGTGGGGATTATTGCACCTGGAATAATAGTAGTATTAGAAAACCAGGTTTTCAACTCACTTTGTTTTTTTACCCTCCAAACAAGTATAAATTATCCCCCACCCCACCCCCTTTTCTTCCAAAATAAACCAGGTTTTCAACTCACCCTAGAGGAAAACCAGGTTTTCAACTCACTTTGTTTTTTTACCCTCCAAACAAGTATAAATTATAGTCCTAAATTATCCCCCACCCCACCCCCTTTTATTTCCAAAATAAAACAGGGTTTTGACTCACCCTCCCCCACCTCTTTTTTTACCCCCTACTACTACCTGTAAACAGGTATTTTGTAACCAAACAAAACAACAGGTGTTGGAATGTGAAAAGTTCTGATACAGAGGTGACTAATTTGTTAGAACAGCGCATGTGTGGAATACAATTATTCTAAAGACGGCAAACGGGTTTTACCACAAGATAACAGGATGAAAATTAAACTGTGCATTAGAATGTTTCAGTTAACAAGGTGGAAATTAAACTAGCATTAGAATGAAAATGATATTATTTTAGTTATATTATATCTTAAGTTTAGATAAAATTTTATGTTACTCATATTTTTTATGATATTTTTTTTCATACTTGCTAACCCTCATTGGTAGAATGTCTGTTAACATATTATCAATAATACGAAATTCACGTAATAAATCATCCATATTATATTTGACTCCTCGTAGGTAAGAACGGATCTGATCAAGTAGTTTCTTGTAAGTTTTAATTGATGTTAAACATCCATGCTTTTTTATCAAAAGTCTTGGTTCTACTTTTTTACACACCGCTGTAAGTGAAACACCAATACCAGATATAATTAACAAAAAGGGATTTAACGATATCCCACTTGAAATTATACCGGAACTGGTCATTAACAATGGTAGATATGATATTACTCGAAGGATCTTGTTGTAGTATTTGTAACATTTTTTAACGCACCAATGTTTTTTGTGATAATATTTGTAGTATTGTATTAATGCGTCTACATCTTGTTTTGGAATATCTTTTGAAATATGATTGAAATCAACTATACTTCTTTTCATTATAATAGTAGTTCACATAGTCCTATGTTTGGTTAATCCATAATAAGAGCTGGTTGTTCAGCTATAAATTCCAAACACCAGAGAAAAATTGCTAATTGTAAAGTTTTATCAACTGGTTCAAGTACAAATTCTTCTTCAGAATTTTTGTTTATTATTACAGATAATACTCCAGATGAGTCATCATTTGGATGACGAAATAGATATTTGGTAGATATTTTAAACTTTGCACTGCTAAGCACTGACAATCTATACACACCGGTAACTTCTGCAATATATTTGATAGAATTATTTTTTGGTGTCCACCCAGTATAACCAGTATCAACAGTATACACAATATTTTTAATCTGTTTGTGAGGAATTTTAACCATACTCGTTTTCTCAACAATATTCGGAATTCCACTAATAATATCATTGAGTTCTGTGTTAATATCATTAAATTTTGTTTTGATATTAGCGAGTGTAATGCCAACATTTGATGGATTTCCAAAAAATTCATCTCTAATTTTGTTTATGCTTCTGCGAAAACTTAAAAATGTGTTCACGTGACTGGTAAAATCATTTTTGAGTGCTGTGATTTCATTAGTAATTAAAGCGTCCCAATCATTGACATATTTTTTAGTGACAGCATCCCCATCCTCAGTTGGGTTTCCAAGATCTGTAATCTTATTTTGTTTCATAACAATATTCCCACTAAATACATCACCATCTTTTTTAACAAAATCATTAACTGACCTACCAGAATCTTGTATATTACCTAGATTGTTAAAAGTAACGATATTATTAGCAATCGCAGCAGTATTTCGTACAACTACATCTGACAGTTTTACATTACTCGTCTTTAATCGTCCTTCTTTGTCTTGGAAAATGACAACTTCATCTGGATCTACGCTGGTAAGATTTAGTAAATTATTGATTTCATTTTTGAGCCGATCAAGAGTTGCATATTTGGATAAGTCACCTTTAAAACGTTTTGTGGATAAATCTTCTAATAGTGTTCCAAATTTTGTATAGTAGCTCATTATTTACTATCCTAGATAAAATTATCAACACTAGTTTAATATTATACAAAATGGCAAAATCGTCGATACTAAACTTTGATACAGAGAGACTAGTGAAGCATAAACATAATAATGAACTTCCTGATTGTCATTATCTTATTGTTGGGCGAACTGGATCGGGGAAAACAAATTTGCTTATGAACTTGCTTCTTGGTGATAATTTTAACTACGATAGAGTTTATATTTACACAATCAATCCACAGCAAGATAAGTATGAGTTATTAAGTGAGTATAATAACAAGCTTCGTGATGATCTTAAAGCTGGTGAAGATTTTTTTATAATTAGGCAGCCAGAAGATCTTATTCCAGTTAATCAACTTGATGCAGATGAACATAAGATAGTAGTTTTTGATGATATTCCGCTAAACAACATGGAGATGAACAAAATAAGATCATATTTTTCACTGTCCCGTAACAAACAGTGTAATTCCGTTTATCTCGCTCAAGGATTTTATAATGTTGACAGGTTTATTAGGCGAAATACGGGTTGTTTTATTTTATTTCCAGGATTGGATAATGTTGACGTTAGAAATATTGCAAGCGAGCAATGCGGTGGCGTGACAAAAGATAAGTTTATTGAACTTTACCGTAATGCTACAAAAGATAAATTTAACTTTTTCTTATTTGATAAACTTACAAATGATCCAACTAAAATGTTTCGCTGTTGTATTAACACTTACTTACAATAAAGCGTTTCAATTTTATAAAATTTATAATTATAATAATGGACAAACGAGCAAGATACAGACAACACATAGAAGATCTAAAAAAACTTGCTCAATCTCAGGCATCACTTAAGCAAAAAGTACAAGAAGCGCGACGTGGGCAAGTAACTGCTACAGAAACAACAGCTACAATTTTCAAGCCGGTTACTGAAGCATTATTAGGTAAACAACCTGAAACTAAACCACTGTCAGAAGAAGAACTTAAACAACTACAGGAAAAAGGTTTGGTTGGAATTGTTAGAGAACAACAGGAAGCAGCTGCTGCAAAACTTGTTACTAGATCTGATGAAGAAAAGAGAAAACTGATTGAGGCACTTACAGCAAATATAGCTGATCCTGCGGCTAGACAAGCAGAAACAGATCGATTGATAAACAATCCGCTGGAACTTGAGCGAAGATTAGCAGAGTTAACAACGCAAGGAATAACAAATATTATAACAAATTTATCAGGAGACATAAAAGATATCAGAGAGGAGCAACAAAGAGTCGGTGATCTTACTGTAAAGTTTATGGAAGTTGGAGATCAAAGATTTTATTTTACAAAAAGAGCAAATGATGAGATAAAAGTTAGTGAATATAATGATTTTTTAAACAAAGAAAATATAAGGGGTATTGATGATATAAGCAAGTGGACTGATGCAGAATATCAAGCATTAATCGATAAATTTGATGTAATATTTAATGACGGAGCTGCTGCTAAAGATGAATTAAACACGGTTACAGAGATTAATAATATGATTCCACTTTATGAAAGAATGAGAAAGGGTGTCATTGCTCTCACGTTTAAAAAAACAGCAGAAAATAGCAGAGCAAAACCTTTTGGTAAAGGGTGGAGTTTTAAAAGAAAATTTGATAAACTCGATAAATCTCGTGTAGAAAAATATAGAAAAGAAAAAACAGGAACTGGTGTAAAAGTATTTACTTCAACTACTGAAATGATAGGTAGATTAATGTTATTAATATCATCAAAGGAAGCTGGGAATGTTAGTGTTGAACTTGATAATGAAATCATTGACATACTTGATCATCTAAGATCGAGTGAATTATTAACATCTAACGAATATGAAACTTTACACCACGACTTAATCGCGGCGACTTAATTTTGTAAAATGATATAATATTAAAGGAATGCAAACAACATTATTACTAAACTCTAGCGAGTCTACAGAAGATAGCGCAAATTTTTCAGTAAATTATATTCCACCTATAGAACTAGATCCTGCAAAACAATATGAAATTGGATTAATTTCTTGTACTTGCTGGAATGCTATACCTAACGTGAAAAATGATGTTAACGATGAAATGTATTTTACTATGATTACAACATCTCCAATATCTACAACAAAAAAAATAAAAA